CAATTGCCGGAAAGCGCGGGGCGTCTGATGACATGGGGCGTCCTGGTCTTTCTAATCAAAAGCGTCCACGGCGTCTGGGCAATCTTGCCGAAGTGGCGCCTTAAACTCCCACGAATTTTCGGAGTCGGGAAATCCCCACCACTGCACCAGAGATTGGGTTTGACCCTAGTGACGACATCGTCTCACTATAAGTTCCTCGTGATAGTGGAGGTCGCCGTTCTCATTGAGAAGAACCGCTGGCGGGCGGTGACGATAGGGGCGACCGCCGTCCGGTGACCCGTGATGCTCTTCGAGCCCTTAAGGACAAGATCCTTCGTAATCGGAGCTTCGCTGAGCGTCATGCTAAAGTAGCATATCGCTGTGCGGACGCTCTTGGCGATCTAAAGCACGTCGTGCACCGCCTCGCCTTGAGGACTACCGCTCTCTGTCGGAGCGACTCGTTGTTGCACTCCGTGCTCAGAATCAGTTGCTGGCTCAACTTCTGGATGGCCGAGGGTCCGTGGGATCCGCTCCGGCGCCAACGCTTCCGCGTTCACATGCGCCGGATCCCGGTACGGCTTGAGCAAGCTCACATAAAACACCAGGTGGGTGCGCATCCGTTTTGGGGGGTTCAGCGTATACGTTAGGCCCTGCTTGGCCACAACCTTAAACGGGTCAATAAATCGTGGACAAAGCTTCGTCCGGAAGATAGCAGAGGATAAATGTGTAGGCAGGATTTTGTAGTTTGTTACAACCGGGTCTCCGACATTAAAGCTTTCCAATTTGCCGCTTCTTTTTTCCATCTGCATATTCTTTATAGAGGTCTTGGCTTTCAGCCATCACATCGCGAACGTGTCGTAGGACACTCAATCTGGTAGACAAGAAGTCATCGACTTCTTTGCGGATGGTAAGGGGGCTGACATCAGCTAGCCGGTTGGCAATTCCTCCCCCACCAAGCCTTGAGGCATTGAGGTGGCGGCGCCAGCGAGACGCGAGAGTGAATACGCTTGTTCACGTAGAACGGCGTGAAGCCGGTCGACGAATGCACTGCATCAAACTCTACGAGTGGCCACATGGCTGTCCAGCGCCTCGGCATCTCAGCGCAGACGCTGCGAAGAACGTCTTCGATGACGCTATTCACTCTTTCGGTTTGACCATCGGTCTGCGGATGATCCACTGACGACATATCCAACTTGGTGCCAAGCACCTTGAAGATAGTCGACCAAAATTTTCCCGTGAAACGGGGCTCTCTATCAGAGACAGAGAGCCAATCGGTTCTGGGAGTCCGTGTTGTCGGAAAACACGGTCCACAAACAGCGTTGCTGTACCGACTCCGTCGATGGTGCCTGGCCCCGCCGCCAAATGGGCCGTCTTGCTCAACCGGTCGACGAATACCACGACACCCGTGTTGCCTGCCGAATCTCTCGACAGGCCAGACACAAAGCCCAAACTCATGGACTGCCAGCCCCCATTGGGTACTAATAAGCTGGCCAGCGGCGCAGCCGCATTTAAA